TTTTTTTTTGCGGTACGCGGGCCTCTCACCGCTGTGGCCTCTCCCGCCACGGAGCACAGGCTCCGGACGCGCAGGTCCAGCGGCCATGGCTCACGGGCCCAGCCACTCTGCGGCATGTGGGATCCTCCCAGACCGGGGCACGAACACGTGTCCCCTGCATCGGCAGGCGGACTGTCAACCACTGCGCCACCAGGGAAGCCCTCTTTTTTCTTTTTTAAAAAAATTTTTTGCTGCACCACACCGGGATGTGGGATCTTAGTTCTTCAACCAGGGATTGAACCCGCACCTCCTGCAGTGGAAGTGTGGAGTCTTAACCACTGGACTGCCGGGGAAGTCCCAGAAACATTTTTTCTTTATTTTTTGGGCTAGATTGTGAGCTCATAAAGAGCAGAACTCATGTGTTAGTTAACATTTTAGCTCCATTCTAAGCAAAATTGGTGTGCACTTAGTTGGTCTTTTTGATTTACTCAGGGTTCTGGAAAATAGCAATAATGATTATTAAGTAAGAAAAAAGATATAGTTCTCTTATATTGCCCCGTAGTTTTGCAGTTCATTTTTGGGATGGGGATTATGGATTGCTGCTTTTCTTCAACAATCTCTACCCTAAACACTTCTTTAGAGCTTTTTTCCCTGGTACAGTCCCACCTAAGTGTTTATTTTGACAATATGCCAGTGGTCCACGACAGGCTTCTGAATAGATTTTAGAAATCCAGCAATATGGGTGCAGACACACACACACACACACACACACAGACACACACACATAATTTAAACAATGCAATATTAATTTTAATAAGACTTTCTGGTCTGTTGCCTCACGTTATTGAAGATTTATTTTCTAAGGTTTTCATAACAATGTGTTAGATGAAGGAACTTTGTAAACTCTTTTTTTTTTTTGCGGTACGTGGGCCTCTCACCGCCGCGGCCTCTCCCGCTGTGGAGCACAGGCTCCGGTCGCGCAGGCCCAGCGGCCATGGCCCACGGGCCCAGCCGCTCCGTGGCACGCGGGATCCTCCCGGACTGGGGCACGAACCCGTGTCCCCCGCATCGGCAGGCGGACTCCCAACCACTGCGCCACCAGGGAAGCCCACTTTGTAAACTTTTGAACTTAAAAGTTTACTCAGAGCTTTGTTTTCTTCCATTTCTTTGATTATAAAGCTGATTTTAAATGACATTTAACCTCATTTTAGATATAAAAAATCAAAGCAAGGAAAGTAATTTGTTCTCTTTTAAAAGGTTTATTCAGTTAATAAAAATTTTAGCTATTGATTATAAGATTTACTAATTAGTAATCAGTTAGTTATGCTTAGTACTGAGTTGATTAAAGAAATATGATATAATCCATGGCACAAAGATATTTATTATCTGAGTAAATAGTTATATATATTACATGTATATGTATATTCTTTGTATGTCATATATATATATAGCATACTTGCAAAGGGTTCCTGGACCCAGTTCCACTGTGTGTGTGTGTGTGTGTGTGTGTGTGTGTGTGTGTGTGTGTGTGTGTGTGTGTGTGTGTGTACGCTTCCCCATACCAACAAGCAATTCTCGGATGCCAACAGAGTGTCCTAGAAGTCAGCTCAATTCTAACTCTATGTACCTTCAGGTAGAAGCAGACTCTGTAGGTAAAGGGCTCAGTCCTATAAGACCACTCTCTACTTCAGATGCCATTTGCAAGCTCAGTCACAAGTGGTGCTTCTGACTGACTGGCTACAAATTGGAGGTTCCGACAACCCCCTCCAACTCAGGATTCCAGTCGAAAGTCCAGGTTGTTATCAGTACTTTTGACTGACTGGCTATAAATCAGAGGTTCCCACGATCCCTTTCTTGGGTTCAATTAATTTGCTAGAATGGCTCACAGAACTCAGGAAAATGTTTGTTTACTCACTAGATTACTGATTATTATAAAAGGGTATTAAAGGATACGAATCAATAGCCAAATGAAGAGACAGATACACAGGGTGAGGTCCTGAACAAAGAAGGTCCTGGCATGGTCACATGGAGAAACATTTTGATTCCCATCCGGGAAGCTCTCCCTGAAAGGGACAAAAAGCTCTCCTTTTGGGTCTTTATGCAGGCTTCATTACATAGTCATGATTGACTTAAATCATTGGCCACTAGCAGTTGATTCAACCTCCAGGTGCTCTCCCCTCCCTGGAAATCAGGGTGGGACTGAAAGTACCCTGTAGTCATATGGTTGGTTCTCCTGGCAACCAACCCCCACCCTTGGGTGGGACCCAAAATTCACCTTCCCTGAAACGTTTTCAGGAAATGAGGGCCATTGCCCTTAACTGCTTAGGAAATTCAAAGGGTTTGGGAGCTGTGACCCAAAAAGTGTGGATTAAAACCAAATATATGTTTTTCCCATAAATCATGGTATCTCAATACTCATATTAATACTATATATACTATATTGTGTAACATTATACATAATATGCTATTACACATACCCTATTTTATATTTTTTATGTGTGTGTATATATATATATATATATATATATATATATCATTTACTCAACTAGATCATAAACTTTTTCATGCCATGGATTAAATCATATTTCCTTAATTCAATACTGAGCATAGTTAAGTATATACATAAAAAGCATATTTTTTAATTTATTTATATATATATATATAGTGTGTGTATCACTTTGTTTCCAAAGCATGAATTTTCATTTAATTATTTAATGAAGGGGAAATTGAGATAAATACTGAAGAGTGACTAGGAATGGCTCAGGCTAGGAGGAAACATTGTGAGCAAAATGAAGTGGTAGGCAGTTCAAAAGGCGGCAAAGGACTTTTGTAGACATGTCTCCAAATAAGATACATAGGGGGCTTCCCTGGTGGCGCAGTGGTTGAGAGTCCGCCTGCTGATGCAGGGGACACGGGTTCGTGCCCCGGTCCGGGAAGATCCCACATGCCGCGGAGCTGCTGGGCCCGTGAGCCATGGCTGCTGAGCCTGAGCGTCCGGAGCCTGTGCTCCGCGGTGAGAGAGGCCACAACAGTGAGAGGCCCGCGTACTGTAAAAAAAAGATATATAGGTGGCCAATAAGAACATGAAAAGATGCTCAATACCCCTAATCAGGGAAATGCAAATTAAAACTACAGTGAGATACCAACTCACACTCATTAGTATGGCTATCAGAAAAACAGTGTTGACAGAATGACAAGTGTTGATGAGGATGTGGAGAAATTGGGACCCTTGTGCTCTGTTGGTGGGAAAGGAAAATGGTACAGATGCTCTGAAAACTAGTTTGGTGCTTCCTCAAAAAATAAAAAATAGGATTATCATATGGGAAATTCCTTGGCTGTACAGTGGTTGGGATTCCTCGCTTTCACTGCTGAAGGCCCAGGTTCAATCCCTTGGTCAGGGAGCTAGAATCACACAAGCTACATGGCGTGGCCAAAAAAAAAAAAAAAAAAAAAAATTACCATATGATCCAACAGTCCCACTTCTGGGTATATAACACCCCAAAATTTGTCACAGGGTCTTGCAGAAATATTTGTATACTTGAGCTCATAGCAGTATGATTCATAATAGCTAAAACAAAAGGAACCTATGTGTCCATTGACAGATGAATGGATAAGCAAAATGTGGTATATACATACAGTGGAATATTATTCAGCCTTAAAAAGGAAAGAAATTCTGATGCTACAGATGCTACAACATGGATGAGCCTTGAGGACGTTATACTAAGTGAAATAAGCCAATCACAGAAATTCAAACTGTATGATTCCACTTTTATGAGGTACTTAGATAAACCCAAATCATAGATACAGAAAGTAGAATACTGGTTGCCAGGGGCTAGCAGGAGAGGGAATGGGGAGTTATTGTTTAATGGATATAGAATTTCAGCTTTGCAAGCTGAAAAGAGTTCTTGAGATGGATGGTGGTGATGGTTGCACAACAATATGAATATACTTAATATCACTGAACTGTACACTTAAAAATGGTTCAGATGATAAATTTATGTTATGTGTATTTTACCACAGTAAAATAAATTGAAAAAAAAGTGAAGTAGGTAGGGGGATGAATAGATAGGCATTTTATTAATTTTGTGGTTTTTATAACTCATCTTAGTATTTTAAATATTTTGCAATCAAGAATGTAGGATACAACATTGAGACATCATTTTACTCTGTCCATTCCCCTTCCATTAGACTTATATTGTCTGACATTTCTAATGAAGATTACTATTCCAAATATTCTGTCAACTCTAGAAATTTCTCAGCATTTTGAATGATGAATTTGTCCCAATGGCATGAAAACCTCATTGTGCCTTTTCTTTATCCTATTATCTTTGAGTCATAGAAAAAATTTTGTGTTTTGTTTCAGATGTTACAGTACTTATTTAAATATTGCAGATGGAAGTTGATATTTGCCATTAATTAATGTTGAGTATAGTTACTGTTTCAGTAAAATAATTGTCATTTGCTTATTTTTCTAGTACCAGTTATCTGTAACTGTCTCTTTCTTTTCAGGCAGAAGAAATGCATGAGTAAATTATTAGAATACAGTGCTGATGTCAACATTTGTAATAATGAAGGCCTTACAGCAGTAAGTGCTAAGAATTTTTATCTGCGATTTTAAAAATACTTTTTAGAAAATAATATTTGAAGGTGATAGTATGCAAAATGTAGTACAAGTATTTGTGCAGTTCCTCTTTGTGGTAATTGGGAAGATACAGTATGATTGAGACACAGTTCTCAGCTATATTTATTAAGAGAAGTTAAGGTTCACCATTTTTCTCCTTTCCCCTTATTTTTTAACTTTATGACCTTTCATTTATTTTGAAGTCTTGATCCCCTAGCTTTTGTCACTGACTTTCAAGGGAGTTTGTAGGAGCATCTCCACTGAGGTGTGTTATGAGTTCATTATAGGACAGCTGTTTTTCATTATGTCCTTTTAAATTCTTTTAATATATACATGGTAGGAAAATTTGGATGGCTATGTTTTTATAACTCATTTTAGTTTTAAAAAAGGAAAGGAATGAATAAAAAAAAGGAAAGGAAATAAAAGGTAACTAAGGGAATGATCACTCACCTGTACTCCCTGCACTCAGAGATAATCACTGTTAATATTTTAGCCTGTATCCTTTCAGACTTGTTATATCTTACTTAAACTAGTATTTTTATCCTTTTTGCCATGTCACTTTCTTTTCAAAAATATGATTATATTTTTTTGATCCACATAGATATTGTAGGGAGGGTGGTGTGGGATATTTCTGAAGAGATTGCTGAAATCCAAAAATTTTAATCATATTGTCATTTAATGGAGCATATTTGATTTAGAAGTAGAGATAAAATAGAATTATGTGATTACTGAGAAATTGTTTTGACATTGTGACAGAAATAAATTTTGTTAAATTTTACCTTCCTGTATGTGAGGTGATGGAGATTTTAATTAAATGGATAGTGGAAATCCTTTCACAATGTATATCAGATCATTGTGATGTATACTTTAAATGTCTTACAGTTTTGTCAATTATACCTCAATAAAGCTGAACTTTTTTTTTTTTAACCTTCCTTTGGTAGTTTTTGTAAATTTTGAGTCCTTTAATTTGTGAATAAAGAAGAATATTGAGTATTTACATACCATGCTAGTTTTCAAGGCCTTTCTGATTAAATTTTTTTTTTTTCAGTGGGCAGGGAGGGAGCTGGGGCATAACAAAACAGCTTTCCTAAGATGTGAGTTATTCTGAGAATGACTTGTTAAAGATTAAGTTCAATCATGATTATTATATGGAATTCACAATTCCTGTGATAATCTACATTTTTGTTACATAGTAACAATATAACACCATTTACTCTGTAAAGGAAAACTGTATTCCAAATATCTACAGAATGCTATAGTGATATGGTAGGTACCACAGAGGGTTATAAAACTATGGAATTGACATAGCTCTATCCTTAGGACACTCTCTAGTATAGGTAAGATAAGATGCTCAGTACTAACATAGTCTGTTTAATCGCATAAGTTTTTATCTGCTAATTTTCCCCCTTCACTCCTGAACTTTAAGGGAAGTGGAATATAAAATTTTTAAAAATAAAATTTTTATTAAAAAATTATTCATGCATATATTTAAAGAGTCAAATGATTCTACAAGGCTTATTATATAAAAACAGTCTCAGCTCTTTTTCTGCCTGGGACCAATCTCAGTGTTCTATCCTGTGGCCCTGATTGGTGTGGTGTGCCTCCTTCTCTTAGAAACAGTTCTGGCCACCAAGTGTGTTCCTGCCTAGTCCCAGGTCACATGATGGAATTAATTCAACAGCCAGGCACATTGACCCCATCAGCTGAAGGAAGCTAGTTAGGATGGTGGAAATGTGGTGCTGCAGAATTGAATAGTGGCCACCAAGCATGTGGGGCAGTAAAGTCAAGGGCTCCTGAGATGGAAGAACTTTCAGTGGGGAGTCAAGATCCCCAGGATTTTTCATACAAAAGGAGAGAACTGTTGACTGCATACTTTGTAGGCTGATCACCCTCACAAAGGGCTCCTCATGTTTCTTCATTCATTTGTTCTTTGAACAGGATTTTCTTGGATACCTATTATGTGCTAGGCACTTTACTGGTATGGGGTCAGAGCAGTAATTTGACTGACCCAGTCCTTGTCTTCCCCAAACTTCCAAGGAAGTCAGGATAGTCAACAGGCAATGGTGACACATTGTAATGAATGTTAACATAGGTGATGGAGATGCTGTAGAAGTCAGATAAGGGGACCCATCCTCACCAATGGCATTGGAGGAGGCATCCCAGGGAAGTATCACAAGAGCTGAGGCCAAAGGGACAAACAGAAGTTAGACTAGTGTAAGTGGTGATTGTGAGGTTGGGAGTGGTAGTGGGGTTCTAGCTCTGTGGAATAGGTTGGCAAAGGCTTGGAGATGCAAGAGAGCATGCTACATTGGAGCAGTGAGCTTAACTGGTGTTCAGATACCGCTGGGGGTTTATGAAGACTTCCAAAGGTCTGTAGCATGGATAGTTAAGGGAGTCACTTTCCAGGTCTTCAGCCTTTATATGTGTGCTCCTTCCTCAAGCTGATTACTCAAGGACACCTTGCGCTTCCCACCTTCACCTTCAAAATCACTCTTCTATCACTTATGTTTTTATTTATTTTTATTATTTATTTATTTATTAAATTGAAGCATAGATGATTTACAGTACTCTTAACTGAGCCTTTTGTAGTACGGAAGTTTTAATTTTTGATGTTCAGTATATCAGTTTTTCCATTTATGGATTGTGTTTTTGGTATCAAGTTTAGGAACTCTTTGCCTAGCTATACATCCTGAAGATTTTCTCCTATCTTTTTCAAAAAGTTTTATACTTTTAAATTTTACATCTAAACCTGTGATCTATTTTGAGCTAATATTTGTCTGTGATGCTTAAGTCAAGGCTTATTTTTTTTACCTATGGAGTCTAGTTACCCTGGCACTGTTTGTTGAAAAGGCTATATACTTCCTGCATGAGATTGGTTTTGTCTCTCTCTCAAAAATCTTTTGGGCATATTTGTATGGGGTTATTTCTGGGTCCTCAGTTCTGTTCCAGTGATCTGTCTGTCCCTTTGCCAATACCACACTGTCTTGATTACTCTAGCTATATAGTAAGTCTTAATATCAGGTAGAGTAATTACTCCCACTTTATTTTTCTTTGTCAAGATTGTGTTAGCTACTCTGGTTCTTTGCCTATCCATATACATTTTAGAATAAACTTGTCTATGACAAAAAACCTTGCTGAGATTTCTTATTGGAATTGCATTAAGCCTGTAGATCAATTTGGGGAGGATTGACATCTTTACTATGTTGAGTCTTCCAATCTATAAACACAGTATGTCTCTCTGTTTATTTAGGTCTTTGATTTCTTTCATCAGAATTTTGTATTATTCAGCTTACAGATCTTGTGCATGTTTTAAGTGTATAGCTAGGTATTTTATTTTCTTTGGAGCAATTGTAAGTGACGTTTATATTTTTTAATTTAAAAAAAATTATTTTATTTATTTATTTTTGGCTGCGTTGGGTCTTCGTTGCTGCGCACAGGCTTTCTCTTGTTGCAGTGCATGGGCTTCTCATTGTAGTGGCTTCTCGTTGAGGAGCACGGGCTCTAGGCATGCGGGCTTCAGTAGTTGTGACATGCAGGCTCAGTAGTTGTGGCACATGTGCTTAGTTGCTCCGTGGCATGTGGGATCTTCCAGCACCAGGGCTCAAACCTGTGTCCTCTGCATTGGCAGGTGGATTCTTAACCACTCCACCACCAGGGAAGTCCCGCGACATTGTTTTAAATTTTTATTTCTGCATGTTCATTGATAGTACATGGAAATGCAGTTGCCTTTTATGTGTTGATCACGTAGCCTGTGACCTTGCTGAACTCACTTATTAGTTCTAGGAGTTTTTGGTAGATGCCTTGGGATTTTCTATATAGATAGTCATGTCATCTGCAAATAGAGATAGTTTTATCTTTTCCTTTCCAATCTGTATGTCTTTTATTTCTGTTTCTTCATTTATTGAACCTTAACATTTTTTTTTGTTTTCTAAATACGTGTTGTTAATTCATTACTAGACTTCCCTGAGCTTTGTAAATATCCTCATAACATGTGTTCAGTACCTTTCACCTTCTTGAATAGTTCTGAAGGAGTCTGTTATGGGGACTGCTGTTCTCTAAGTGAGATTGGTTGATTTCTAGGCCTGCTTTCCAGCGTTATTTGGAATATCTCTTCACCATCATCCCAGAGATTCCTTTGCCTTTCTTTTGTTTTGGGTTTTTATTTATAGGCATACCTCAGAGATGCTGCAGGTTCTGTTCCTGACCATGTCAATAAAATGAATACTGAGATAAAGCAAGTCATACAAATATTTTGGTTTCCTAGTGCATATAAAAGTTATATGTAACTTCAAGAAGTGCAGCAGAGTGTTACTACCTATCCTTGAGCCTTTTGGGAGTTCTGTGATCTGAATCTACCTTCTTGGTGCTCTATTACTGGTTTAGGATTCAGCTCTTTGTTCTGACAATTCAGACAAAAGCTTCCAGCTTGCAAAATGTGTTGCTCTTGTATTCTCTCCTTTTCTTTTTCTTAATAGGTCTGTCCTTTAAGAAAAAGTACTCTTTACTGTCATTTCAGTGATGTTCGGGGAAGAAGTAGGAGCTGATGCATGGCTTCAGAGTTACCATTTTAAAACAAAAGTTTCATGATATATTTTTTTAATGGAAAAAAAGTCAGATGAAAAATGCATGGACAGCATAGTCCAAAGTTTTAACATTGATTATCTTTGTGGGGTAGACTTACAGGTGTTTTATATTTTTTTAATCCTCCCCATATATGTTATTTATATATGTTACATGCATTATGTGTAAAATATAGGAAGTAAAGAATATGACACCTACTGTCATATTAATTACTTTTTAACTTATGTTTGTTTCTGGGGGAGGAAAAATATCCAGTACCTCTTCTCTAGAGATAAGCTATACATACAGTCCATGGTCATCTAAGAAGCAGAGTATTTGGTGATCCTAAGTTTAGGATTTTTAACTACTTTGAAACCATGAAATGCTTGATTTTGAAGTACATGGTGGTGTAACCTACATCCTGATGCATATTTTTTCCCCATATAAAAATATAGGAAAAAAGTATATTGGCTTAAATTTTAATTTTAATATTTAGTGTGTATATCATGCTCACAGTTGATGAATAATTGCATTATTTATCTGCTGCTTTTATATGAAACACTCTTGCACAAATGTTAAGTAACCTAAATGGCTGCACAGATACACTGGCTGGCTGTGAATGGGCGGACAGAACTACTCCATGACCTTGTACAGCACGTCAGTGATGTCGATGTTGAGGATGCGATGGGGCAGACAGCGCTGCATGTGGCCTGCCAGAACGGTCACAAGACGGTAAATAAAGCCTCAAGGACTTTAAATTAAGTTGCATCTGTTTAAACTTTGAATTCATGAAAAGTTTTCCACTGTGTATAATTGGAAACATGAAGCAAAATCTTATAACATTTTCTGTGTCATGTGGTCTTCTGATTAATATATTCTATGTGGATAAAAGGAACAGAAAATAGTGTTTTTAAATATGTTTAATGTATTTGTAATTTGGATTTCAATTTTATTTCTGATTCATAGATTCTTTTTTTTTTTATTTCTGATTCATAGATTCTAATAGCTGAATATTTTAAATTTTAAATGTAGTATGTTCACATATAATAATTTTAACAGTTTATAATGTTTCTTGTCCTCAGTTTTATCAAATAACTTTTTCATATTTTTTACCATTTTCATATTTTTACCCTTAAGCCTCAAGTTTTGGAATTAGTGAAGAAAGTGAGCTCTGACATTGCTTAAATAATTCAACTTGGATTAATTATTTTTCTACTCTCTTGGAATATGATTTAAGTGCTAGAGTCACAGCTGTTTTCTTCCTTACTTTTGATTTCTAAAATCATGCATTTGTTTTAGGCAGTACTTTCCTGTTATCCCTATGTATAAACACTTGGCTTTTAAAATTGCTAATAGTTTTCTCTCTCATTAGAAGACTGGTGCTTTATTTAAAGATTGTTAGCTTAAGATTTTAGATTGAATTTCTGCTTTTTGTATTTTCCTATCCTGGTTACTTTCATTTTTTTCCCACATTTAACATTATGGATAATAGAATATTATGTATTTACTAACTAAACAACAAAAACCAATTGAAAACCAAAAAACACCACCAGCATCTACAAAGATACAGAAGTTTGCTTGTTTATATTTATTTTTTTGTATACACTGAGTCTTATTTTTTGTTGGGAGAATTCCTAGTAGAATCTAGATTTCTGTCTCTGCAAACTCTTTTTTTTTTGTGGTACGCAGGCCTCTCACTGTTGTGGCCTCTCCCGTTGGCGGAGCACAGGCTCCGGATGCACAGGCTCGGCAGCCATGGCTCACGGGCCCAGCTACTCCGCGGCATGTGGGATCCTCCCGGACCAGGACATGAACCTGTGTCCCCTGCATCGGCAGGCGGACTCTCAACCACTGCGCCACCAAGGAAGCCCCGTGCAAACACTTTTTTCCTAACCTAGGTTCAGGATGTCAGATCCTACGTATTTAGATGCTTTATGTATGACCTCAATTCATAGAATACTGCACTTCTTTTAAGATAGTGAGCTCAAGGTTGACATTGTCTTATGTTTAATAAGAGTTGGATAAAAGGAAGGATATATGCTTTTTCCTTTTTTTCTTTCCTGGCATTTCTTCTGAACACCAATGTTCGTTTTTATTCTTTTGTCTTTTATCATCTGAAAACTAACCCATTTGTATTCAAGGAGTATTCCTTTTCGTTACCTTTTACTTTCTCTATGTCAGTACTACTAAATTTAAGAAGTATTCTGTGTGGAAAACAAAAAATCATCTGAAATGTTCTAATCTTGACTGGCCCCAGTAAGCAACTGCTGCCTGTTAGAGAAAGAGTCCTGCTGGTAGCTCTTACAGGACAGAAAAGCACCCGCTTTAATAGAAATACTCCCTGCCGTTAACGAACGAGTGGCGTGTCATTTACTAAGATTGTAAACCTGCTTGTTGCCCGGGAACTTGTGTAGTAAAAAACGGGAATTCAGATTAGGAATTACCTACAAAGGCTAATTTTAGCTGCCTTAAGCCAGTGAAGAAACAAGAATGACGCAAAAAACCTTGGTTCAAAACATGTGCATTACAGGGTGCATTAAAAATTTAGAATTGCCTCTGAAGTTATTGAAGAGTAGTTAGTATAAGTATAATACGCTCCATATGGTTTACCACCTAAAGCAGGCGTGGTAAAGTAAGGGAGAATTCCTCATAGTCCTCATAGCATATGCCTTTGAAGAATTGTATTTTCAGAAGATTTATAGGGGGCCTGACTTCACTGTGGTGATGGGCTTCACAGGGTGAGATTTTGCAGGTATGATACAGGAGGAAGAGTACAAAAAGTCATGTTGACTTGTGATTGATTGTATTAGTGAGTGAGATTCCTTTCTGTCATAGTTGGCCCATTATAGTTATCTGTGAGGATCGTATACAAAGAGAATGTTTAGCACTATTTTCCAATTCATTGTATGCACCTTTAATCCTTCAATAGGGCAAAAAGGAATCCTGAAAAATTAGGCCATCTGCTAGCCTCCAGGCTGAATTATACCTCTAAAAATCTGTGTTGATAGTTGTGCTATTATTACCTGTGTGTCATAATTACTCATGTATTTCTGGGACATGTTCAGATCTCAGTGGATGAGAATATTCTTTTATCTTGAGTTGGATATGATTTAAGAGCTCTGAGATATGTTATTACAGGGTAGATGTTATTGATTTTGTTTTTAACCCTTTGTATATCTTTCCATAAGTTGAACAGAGTCTAAAATGCTTTGTCAGATTTCAGCAAATGAAAATGGCCTTTTCATTGTCTCACAGTAGTCAGTTTTTGCATAAATTCATTAAAAGGTCTTCAAAACTTGTGTCCATGTAGACATATACCAGTGCACATAGGTTTCAAGATTTATATATATTGGTTATATATATATTTTATAGAATGAAATGTAAAACTTTAAAGGGGGAAAGAAACTCCCTTAAAAATATTCTCAAAAGCACATCAGCTCATTTCAAATTAAAGAGGATGATATGAAAAAAAAAAAGAGGATGATATGATAAAGAAGTGCTCTGAAATTTACTTTCTAATCTCATTTTAAGGTAAATCTCAAGAATGCATGAAAAGATTTTGAACAACTGGCTGAGAGCTCTAAAGCTTTGTAGAATTTATAATTGAATACCGTATTCTTGCTTTGATGACAAATAATTTTTAGATTTACATGACTTTTTTACAGATAAAAGATTTGGAAGAAAGATTGATTTTGTCATAACTAAGAAATCAAGTAATTTTTGCCATGATTTCCTATACATGCGTCTGTTTAATTAGAGGTAAACCAAGATAAGGGTCTTTTCATCATCTTGTTGGAAGGAAGTGATTTGGGCAGTTGAAGAGTGCAGCGTGACCATTTTTGTTCTTGTAACATAATAGCACTATGATTTTAAACGACTTCTATTCCTATTTTAAAATGATCAGATGAAAAAAATGATCAACTCCTTAATAATATAATTTTTTATAAATTTCCTTAGGTCAGCTGTTACTAGCTATACAATACCAGAATTATGGTTTGTCTTTGGATATTGATTTAAAATAAAAAATAATTAGAGAATTTGGTTATTCATCTGGCTTATTATATAGTCTTTGACAACTTTTTCTTCCCCTGCCTTTATCTACCTCTTAAGATATAATCTGCTGATTACACAATTAAGGAAAGTGTTGTGAATATTTTGGAAGATACTTAAGAGTAATGATAGCGGCTTCCCTGGTGGCGCAGTGGTTGAGAATCTGCCTGCTAATGCAGGGGACACGGGTTCGAGCCCTGGTCTGGGAGGATCCCACATGCTGCGGAGCAACTAGGCCCGTGAGCCACAACTACTGAGCCTGCGCGTCTGGAGCCTGTGCTCTGCAGCAAGAGAGGCCGCGATAGTGAGAGGCCTGCGCACCGTGATGAAGAGTGGCCCCCGCTTGCCACAACTAGAGAAAGCCCTCGCACAGAAACGAAGACCCAGCACAGCAAAAAATAAAAAAAAATAAAATAAATTAATAAACTCCTACCCCCAACATCTTAAAAAAAACCAAAAAGAGTAATGATAGTATTGGTACTGTTACTACCATTATTAATATTGATGATGTGATTCTGTAAGAACAATACAAAGAGCACTACCTGGACTCTTCATTCATTTGCTCTTATGCAGTAAGCTAGGCCTAATGTGTTGTTTGATTTTTAATCTCATTTTTAGAAAGTGTAGTAAAACCTAATATTATTCTACATAGGTATAATTGACTCCATTTTTTTTGGCCATAAATTGAACTTACTTTTTGGTAATTTTTTTCTTTGTCATTAGGTCTTTAAGATGTATTGATGTGTTGAATTGCCACAAATGGTTGATTACTGTTTTCCTGGAATAACTTGGACTTAGAAACTCTAGAGAACTGTCAAATGGTTCAATCTCAATTTCTATTAGTTAAAGTACACAGCAGGATTAGTTCTTGGACTAATTTCAGTTCACTTAAGGAAATTTTATTTTTATCACAATAGACTTTATATTGCTAAATTTAGATAACTGAATATGATGGTTCACAAACAATATGAAATGATAGTTGAACCCTGCTTAGAGTAGATTACCTTTGATAGAACTGACTGCATTTTTTTTTTTTTTTTACTGAAATTGTAGGCTTGTTAAGGAACAGTGCTCATCTACGTTCAGTCAGCTCTCTTGATATCTTTAGCCAGCTTCCAAGCTTTTCATCCAGAGAATTACAGGGCAGCCATGCAAACTTAATTGAAAGCTTTTGCAAAAACATTAACTGGATTCAGCCTTGAAGCACGAAGGTAGATGTACTTAACATTTCAGGATATGTTTTTAGGTTCAGAGTAATTTTATTTATTCTAATGTTAGAATTCTCCTTTCATCACTTCTGAGAAATGTGAGCAATAATAGGAAATTCTATTACTGTGATTTTTTTTCCTAACACAACTGGGTAATATTGATTTTTTTGCTAGGTATTACATAAGGGTTCAAAGTCTTGATAGGCTTAGGTGGACAGGTTTCTAGAGAAGACCTATAAACACCAGTCACTGACTCGTGAGTTGGCCATTTTTCTTAGTGCATAAGTTGTTTGTGCATTGCTGTTCTGTCATCAGAATTACTTTTTTTTTTTTCTTTTGCCATACGTGGGCCTCTCATTGCTGCGGCCTCTCCCATTGTGGAGCACAGGCTCCGGAAGCGCAGGCCCAGCGGCCACGGCCCACGGGCCCAGCCGCTCTGCGGCATGCGGGATCCTCCCGTACCGGGGCACGAAC